CTGAAAGCTGTGGACGTAGGGAAGTGGAAAGGCACAGATTCAGCCAGATAATTAGGAACTCTCTCAAGCTACCTAATTGTTTTGGAACTAGATTCAAAACATCAACAATATCACCAGGGGGTAGTGAACCTCGAGTCACCCTTACAAGACGTAGCTACGGAGTGGAAAACTAGGGCGGGGCGCCGAGTGAAAGGAGTCACAGAACCACCAGGAAAGTACCTGTCAGGGTACACGACAGAAGGAGAGGAAATGAAATGGAGCTTATGTGAAAAAAACTCAATTGAACTTATGAAATAAATTTTATAGAATGATTTGACAGAGATGTACAATAAAAACTAAAGATAAAATCTTTTAAAATTCTGTAAAATATGTACAAAAAAGAAAATCAGTTGCATGGTAAAAATAATGAAATATGAAAATATGAAAAAATGGAATGAATATTTTTAAAGTATCATTAAAAGGTATCATTTTTAAAAACTCAATACACGAGATATGCTAAGTACAAAGAGTAAGTTAAATGGAAAACAATAATGATTAATCAGCACACAGCACAAAAACAAATACTGATTAATTTAATCGGCACACAGCGCAAGAAAATACAATGCAAAAATACAAAAGTAAACAGAGAAAAAAAAAACACATTAGAAGATAAGCCAATTTATGAAAACTGCTAAGAGACATGGAGGATAGGACGAGAAACGCCGTCATGTATCTAGGGTGTTCCAGAAGAAGACACTGGAAGGGAGTGACATTGAAAAAGATAACAGCTGAGGATTGGCTGGAATTTTGGTAAAGATGTACCATTACATCAAAAATGTTTTCTGCCAAGGACAGGATAGGTAAATAAGCAGACAAACAAACAAATAAATTTACTCCAGAAGATAAAGCACAGGTTAATTTCCAATGCATGTAATGGACAAAGGATTTTAGGTATTCAGACTCTAAGAACTTGTGCACATTGGCAGTGAGAAGGGAATATGAACAGACGTGGGCTCCTGGAAGAGCAAGCCAATGGCTCCATGATCTGGGTTTGACTATGTGATAAGGAACCCTGGCATCTGGTACTAAATGCTCATACCTAAGTGGTGGATGAGAAGGCGGATAAAGGGACTCTGATTATCCTTCTGTTAGCAGGAGGTAGTGTTGAGGTATATACTGTTCAAACGGTGAATCGGGTAGGTAGGAGGTATACCATCATGCAAATGATGCAAAAAGCCCCGTAGCTCCAGCTGGAAGGCAGTGCGCCTGTGGCTGCTTATTTAAGGGGTCTCAGAGAGGAAAGAGATCATCTCAGACTAAGCACCTTGCTACCCCACATAGAACACTAGACTGGCCCAAATCACTGGGACTCTGAGTGACCGCAAACAACCACTGCTCTGCTCAGAACAGAGGAAATGCGTCTTGTTTGTGGTGCAAAGCTGCTCGTTGCTTTCACTCTCTCTGACCCTTCTTGCCACTTTTATCCCAATCTTGAATTCAGTTACTTTAAGGACAAAAATTAGTAAGGATACACCAAGGTCTCCCTGTTCCCAAGGCCATGAATACCTGTCCGTGTATGCCGGAGAACTTTGGTCAGGTAAGGAACTTACAGGGCTTTGTTGAAAACAGGCAACCAAGTTACCCCCTACCCAGTCCTGTTGGGGGCATAGGGCATCCAGATTCTGCCAATCAGTGTTAGTCGGAATTCCCAGCAGAGAAAATGAGTCTAACAAGACCTGTGTTAAGGGCTGTTTGGGCCAATTCAATATACTGTCATTGTTGCTTCCACATCTGTATGTATATATTCATCTATGCCGTCCTACAAGGCCCAGAGGGGATTCTCCGCATCATAAGGAATTACATGTTAGAAAACTCTTAGTGCCTTTAGGACTTCCATAACCCCAATGACCCTTTGAACCACAAGTCTCCGTGACTGATGATCTTGCCTTTTGTTGTCCTGTATCTGAAGTTTTCCTTCAGGTTCTGTACGAATCACTTTCCAGGCATGGCTACCATGCTACACCCCTTTTCAAAAAGCAGCTATTACCTTGTTGCTAGACCCTTCTCGAAACTGAGTGTCTGGCCCACAGAAACCTTGTGACTCCAGGGCCTGATGGTCCTATTTTGAGGTAGGTCAACTTGGACTTTACAGTTAACAATGTAGGAAAGACCCCAAAGTTTCTCCTACAAGATGGAAACAGTATATTCAGGAGCTCAGCCAACCAGGCGGAAGTAACATCTTGGCTTTAAAGAGGTAGTTTTTTCGGGGGAAATTTTGTCCCTCACCCCACAGCTTTAATCAACATTGCTGATCAAGAGGACCCTATATTTGTGGACTTCCTGAATGTCTGGGCTTGCTTCCCTGACAAATTGAAACGTGTTGCGATCCGCGGAGCTCCTGTGACTGTCCGGCCCCAGGGCTAACTATGCAGAACCCGAATTTATTGGTGGGCAGAACTCAAGGCCGTTCTCACCACTGAGCTGTGACTTAGCTGTCGTCAGTGGTTTGGGTGTTGGTCTGCCCTGTGGAAAGCTACAAATTGGCAGGTTAAATATACCCCTCATCTGGGCCACCAACTATGCAAACAAAGTCTGGCTGCTGATTAGAAAGTTGGGTTCAGTAATGACTTCAGAATCTATGCTTATTAACTGCTACATTGTTGTAGCAGTTACTATTAACTACATATAGTTTAATATTAAGCCTTAAGTTCCATGAATCTTTTCGTAACTACTCCATTGATCTTTTCCTTACACAATTCATTGAGTTCTTAATAGTTGCTCTTGGTTTTTCTTGCTTCGAGGAATCTTATATACGTTCTGGGAGGGATCATGCTTAAATGTCTTTGCATTCCCATTCTGCCTGGTCTACCAGTAAATACTGATTGATAGATCCTGTCATATTATTTCACAGTTGAGAAAATAGTAGCTTATTTTATGTTACTATAGTGTATATTTATGTGAACTTTTTAAACCAGTGAAGGAATAATAATTACCTTCTAAAATCATGGATATTTACTATTTTTATAATTTAGTCTTTAGTCTTTGTTCAAACTTTTTTTTCATATCTACAGAAAGATAATCTGATCATTTTTGTGCCTTCTTAGTTAGCCCTGGAAAAATTATATGAACATATGAAAAGGATTAAAATTGGTAGTCCTTGAAATTTAGTAGCTTTTTCTCCAACATGTTATTTTGTATTTGACATCACACATTTGATCTGAAATGTTCAGGTTAAAATACTTATGAAAGTGGAGCTTATTTTTCCTTACTCCCAAAATACAAAATAGGTCAGCTGCTTTTCAGAAATTAAAATCAAAGCAACACAGTATTTACTTATTTCATGTGTTAATTGATATGTTCAAAAAAGAGTTGTATTTATGCTGAAGTTAGTAAGTTTAGGGCAAGTAAAACTATGCATTTATTTTATTGTTTATAATTGTGTTTTATTTGATTAGTGAAGGCTTGTAATGTAAAAAATATATTTATTTAAATGATATATATTGTTTTTCCTCATTGGAATGTAAAAATAATATTTTTTCATTATACAAAAATTATAAAATTTAGAAATATAAAAACAACCTCATTCTACTATCCAGTAACAAACACTATTAATAGTTTGCTTGATCTCTTTCCCTTATTGATTCTTCTCTTCTTAAATGTTATATTATAGAAATTTTCAAACATGTGCTAAAAAGGAAGGTCCATGTATCCATCACCAACCAAGTTTCAGGGGTTATAAACACCTCTGGCTAATCTCATTTAATCTCAATTTCCACCAATTTTCTTGCTACGTGTATAATTTTGTGGCAGTTTCTAGGCTTCATATCATGTCATACATATATCATCATATAAATATATATGCATATATATACAAATATACATATATAAATGTATATATACATTTATATATTTCAGTATTTATTACTAAAAGAGAGAGACTAAAGTATTAAAAATGCCACACTGTTAGTATCACATAGAAAAAACTGAGATACCTTAATGACATCATTATCTAACCAACAGTACTTACCTACCTTTTTTCTCATTATTTTTTAGGATTTATTTACTCATTCATTACAGTTTACTTATTTTATTTGGGAACTCTTTTGAACATCTCTCTGTAGCTCTCTACAATGAGCATTTCTTATATATTCTCTGAAAGTTCAGTGGGTTTATGAAAATAAAAAGAATGTGGAAATATAGCATCCCATCATATGTGAGAACAGATACCTTTATGACTTTTAAAAACCATAATTATTTCTTTCACTGTATTAGAGCTTAAGTTCATCCCTGACAGATGCTTATAACATGACGAGTGAAAAGCTTTAGTAATTTAACATATCTAAGCTACCGTGGAAAATTAGCAACTTTGTAAAAATTGAAAAACTCATTTCCTGATGCAATTTAGGCAAGGCTGTAAGGATTTTCATTAAATAATATAAAACAAATTAGAGGAATAGAAACAGAACTCAGGGGCAATAAACACAACCACATTAAAAAATGATTTTCACAATGTTAACTGCTTAATGACTAAAACCTTTTAACTATAGTCTATAGTTTTAAAACCAAAAAATATGTATTTCTTGATTATTAGCTAAGTGATTTTATGTTGTTATTATTACTATTATTACTATTTAGAATTTGGCCAAGTTATTTAGAAAATCATAATTTGTATCATATGGTCTTTAAAGTATAGATTTCAAGTAATTATGAGCAGGTCCAGTAGCATCATAAGGGTCAGGTACTGAAAGTGCACTGTTTCTCGTTTTTTTCATCCTGTACAGTTTTTTTCTTTCTACACCTACTTGCAGTAAATGCTCGTTTGCTAATCGAGAAGCACATAGAAGTGAGTGGCAGAGTAAGTCAGATGCTTTGCCTCAGAGTGACGAATGCCGTAAGGTTAATGCAATCATTGCTGACACAATTCTCAAGTATAAAGTCTGTTTTGTTTCTTTTGGTTACTGACTTCTTCCTTGTGACTTAGGCCATTTTTGTTTTTCCTTTCTTTATGTTTCTTTCCACAGAAAGCTGACCTTGCAGTTGCTCCGCTGGCGATTACCTACGTTCGAGAGAAGGTCATCGACTTTTCCAAGCCGTTTATGACCCTTGGAATAAGCATTTTGTACCGCAAGCCCAATGGTACAAACCCAGGCGTCTTCTCCTTCCTGAACCCCCTCTCCCCTGATATCTGGATGTATATTCTGCTGGCCTACTTGGGTGTCAGTTGTGTGCTCTTTGTCATAGCCAGGTAACATGCTCACTTTTGTGATTTCTTTGGCAATTGTTAACTCCTTTTTCTAACTAATAATTGTCAAAAGTCACAATGATTTTACTTTTCTTTTTCTTTATTTCCCATGGGATGCGGAAGAACAATGAGCTTTTAAGTCACTTAACTTAGTAAAACATACGTGCTGCCTTTTGGGGGCAGGAAGCATGCTGGTTGTGTTAGTAAGCTGCAAGGGCGGTTGAGTTTGCTCTTCCTGGTCGGAATCTGAGAGCTGTCCAAATAACTGTGACGAGAAAGTTATTGTCTCATGTTGAAGATTTCTTTTGAACGAGACAGCAAAAATAGTATGTTTCACTCATGTGACTTGTAAACAGTCATAAGACAAACCAAAATGGTAAAATTTTAAAGGTTTTTTTTTAAATGAAACCAAACCTAATTAAGAATAAGCATTTTAAGTATAAAAAGACTATCATTACTTTCTGCATAAAATTTGTCCTTTTTTTCACAGAATATATATATCATCACCAAAAATTACCTTATTTCATTGTCACGGGTATATTTCAATCATAAGATCAGAAACTTAAATGCGTAACTGAAAAATACAGACTTTTATATTTTTGGAATGGCCTTTAAAATCTATGATACAGACCAATCTTGGTGTTTTTGCTAGTTTATTGTTAACTCAGGAAGTGGAAATTTATAACCATTTTTCATTTATGTTTCCCCAAAGATCAAATTTTTAACAGGTAGATCATTTCAATCTGATTTAGCTAACTCTTGCCTTAATTAAGAAGATTAAAACTATCTCTCAGGACTCAGAACTCTATTGTTACACTAAAGACTTTGAAAATCACATAATCATAGTTTTTGAGTTTTTATAGTCTGTTAAATATCAGAAGGATAGCTCTAAATCCAAGATGAATTAGAATACTACATATACTTTTTCATGTTGATAATAATACTTGCAGTATATAATTATAATTTTCTTTGTCCTATCATCAAAATTAAATATTAAGTAAGAGGGGATTTTTTTTTCATTTCATTAGATAGATTCATCTGATCAATTTATCCCTAAGGATATTTGTCTTTTTTGAACTTACAGTTTTTTCCACTGGAGTCATGTAATTTTTTTTTCCTAGCAATAAAAAATACTTAGTTCATTCAATTGAAAATGGAATAAAATCAGTTACAGAAGTAGTATGACATTTTTTGATATGCTTACATTTTTGATAACTATACACAGATATTTTTGAAATGTTTACACATAAATGTTATACAGATTTATAATTTTCCACCTAATTGATTTAATATTAACACATGAGTCCTTCAGACTATTATCATTTGCATTTGCCTGAAAATTTATATGGGAACCATATATACATATAGCATTTATATAATGTGCATATATATATATGTGCATATATATATATATATATGCATGTTAAAATCTTTATTTTAAGTTTAAAGTTTTCCAAAAAATATGAATTTTGGAGATGTTTATAAACTTGTAACTCCAGATTATCCATACATTGTGAAAGTAAAACAGCCTTCTCATTTTGAGCATCTCTGCAACAATTAGATCTTTTTTATAGTGACCAATAAGAGTTATCCTGTTTTATATAGTGTTCAGAGAAATGAGTTCAAGAATTACAGCTTAAATGATTTAGTCTAGAGAACTCAGCAGCCTGCCCAGAGGGCAGACAGAAAAATAAATATTCCAAAACAATAGAAACTTGTAACTCCAGGAACAAAGGTTCCTATAGGAGGCACACAAACAACATCTAGAGGAAAAGGTCCTGAGATGATTCTGAGGCAACTATGTGAGCATCAGTCAAACTGAATTAAGTTCAGTGTGGTTTTCAGGGGATCTTAAGCAGAGACTATTGGGTTACCTCAAATTTGTATTAGGAATTTTAGATATTCCTAATTTTCTGAACCCAACACATCTGAAATTAGATTCAAAAGCAAGTACCAATACATCTGGATTCTTTCCCAGCTCAAAAGTACGTTTGCAAATATAGACATGTGGTATGGCTATACAACTTATCTAACTTTCAAGTATTTCTCTAACTCCCACTTTGATAAACCATCCAATAATATAATAATATACTATCTGTATAATTGTGGTAACCTTTATTAATTTTACATGAAGGAAATGCATCCATGTCATTCTATTTGAGAACATAACATGAGCTGGTGGGCCACTGCTTTAGTGTCTTTAAACTTTGGAATATCACTATTATATATTATCATTAGTTATTCAATGAATGGATTTGAAAATGATTCTATTTCAGCATCTTATTCAACATTGTGGAAACAAAATCACATTGTTTAAAAAATGAAGTGTAGTATCTTCATTCATGGGCAAATTAACAATCTATCAAATAATAAACAATCTTAGATATCCTATATTAAGTAACACATAATATTAGATATTCTTGGTGAAGAATACATAATACAAAAATGAACTCTTTATATATTATCTCTGTATATTTTGTTCAATTCTTAATATTATTATAATCTTATATAAATATTACCAAATTAAAAAAAAACACTAATACACCAAAAGACACTTCTTGAATAGAGTCCATTTAAATTCTGAACTGAACCTCCAAAATCAAATAAATTTGTATAATTAAAATCCACATTGACATGGTTTTGAACTGTTGCCACCTTGAAAGAAGTTCATGATGTGCAAATGCAGACAAAATGTCCAAGTTTCAACTGCAGAACTTAATTGTCTTTCTAATTTAAGTGGAATCAATGTATTTGCTCCCAATTCAAAATGAATGTAGGATTTTGATTTCACCTGTGAATAAATATTATGCCTTATGGCATTTGAGATCACTTATGTACTTACTAACATCATTGTTGATGTTAAAATAAATGGAGCATTTTCTTTATCTTTAGGTATATTCTTCATCTCTATTTCCCTAACACCGACAGAGAAAGAAAAGACAAATTACATTTTTAAATAATTCTCAGCTATGTTCCATTCTCACTGAAAATGACAGAAACCAAGTTCCAAAGTAATACCAGTCCAGCAACAAATTCATATTTATAAATTATTGGATGTTGGGTCCTATTTTAGGAAGTTTAGGAATTTTAGGAAGTTATGAGATATCAACTTAGAAATGAAAATAAGGTTTATCTCAAAGTTAAAATATAGTAAATGACTTAAATACCATTCAAATTTTTAATTAATATTTTACTTTTGTTATGGTCATCCACTGATAGTATTTCTATCATTAATCTTCTGTATCTTTTTAGCTACCAAGTCACAACTTCAATTTGTTTTCTGCATCCACTCTAGTTTAATTATCCCATCAATTACTCACTCAATTGGTCAAATATTTGTTAAACCTCCAGTAAGCACTGAATAATTACAGTCCTATAAAGTATTAAAAATTAATCTATATCCCTCATCTATTCATCAATTTATTCAACAGATGTCTATACCGGCTACCTATAATATTTTGAGAATTTTACCAGATGTTTAAATCCAAGGACAAACATGACTGGATACATTCTTTCATTATTAAACTCATAATCAAGGCATTTATCTGAAGATAACTATATACTGATATTGAATGAAATTCATAGAAATATTTGATAGTTACCCTAAGTTTGTTTTTGAATGCCATGTATTTAAAATATATTTGTCTAGAAAATGACTTGTAACATATATTTTACTAGAGAGAAATATGCAACTATGAAGGAAATAAGGCACTGAGCAGATTGCTAGTTATCATCAAACTACTATTATTTGGGGCTTATTGAATATCTGCTGTATCAAAATATCAGCAATATTAGTTTCATGACACATCAAGAATGGATCATAATTGTTGGAATTTATGTTTTTTAAAATTAGATTTAAAAGTAGATTGTGATTGTTATACTTTTAAAAATGTCCCTTGTCCCTTATTGTATACAAAATGACTATTTAACAAATATTTAACAAACATTCTATTTTTTTAACTAGTATTAAGAAAGACATGTCTGGTCTTTATTTTATTTTATTTTTATTTTTTGTCTGGGTATGGTTTTATAACCTACGATCTTTTGCAAACAGTTGCATTATTGTTTATAGCATAATGACATAATCAGCATGCTTACTGGATCAGTTCTGATTTTAAGAGTTAAGATGGCCTGAGGTACTGCATTCTAGATATAGAATGGCCTTGTCCCAAGTAGGTATAGTAGCAATAGCTCTTAGCTGACAGAGGATCAGGAAGAGATCTTGTACATGATGGGTTTGTTCTTAACCAGATTTTGCCCTAAACCTTTTCCCCTTCCTTTCTATCCTTTTTTTCTTTAACCTAGGTGCATTAGTGTAGAGATGGCCATTAGACATCGAAAGCGTCTGGTTAATGAACTCACCCTTTATATCCATGAGAGGTATTTTTCACCTTGCTTCAAATATTGCCTTTATTAAACAACGGATAATATTGATACAATAGATACTATTTATAAAATCAGTTTAAATTCCTATAATATTAGAGAATTTTTTTCCTTAACCATAGCCATCTCCAAGACCACCAGAGCTCTTTTGAAATTCAACATGTGAAGTTTAGTCTAGGGTTCTTAGGAGTTTTGTATACAAAGATGGAACTAAAGACCAAACTTAAAAGAAGAGAATAATGGTGCACACATTTCCCTCCAACAGGATTGATGGAACCTTAATTCACTACACTTTTAATAATATTGCTTATTTTATTCTGAAATTAGCATTGTAAATTGAAATACAAATGAACTCTATAGAAGAGGAATAATGCCATACCAAATTTTGTAGTAAGAGTTTTATTACACAGTAATTTTTTAGGTTACCTAAATGAAAAAATGAATATGGTCAAATATAGGGAAAGAGTAAAAGTGGGCAAGCAAAAGTGACTAACTTGGGCTTCTTAGCAAGAACAGAAAATCAAAGAATATTCAGTGTTTTAAATATATAACATTAGTTTTTCCTAAGCTAAAAAGAATATAGGAATTTCTTGTGTATTTTTGTGTTTAATTACTTTGTA